AAATTTCGTTTTAAATACTATGATAGAATATATAAATAGTCATAATGATTAAGACAAAGCATAAAAATAAAATTTTCTTATTACATTTTCAGATAATGCCGGTCCAATCACGGCCAATATTACCTTATCAATGTAATCAAGTGATTCATCCATGGCATGAAAGTTGTATTGGAGCGGCATGTTCTCTTACAAAACCACTTTTTAAAGAATCATTTAGAATTTATTGTGCTCTATATGCAGTAAGAATTGTTCATTTGAATTTTTTTTTTATAGAAAATTTTCTTTGCTTATTTAGATCGCAGGACTTATAAGATTAAGAAAAGTTAAAACATTAAAGCAATTACGTCAACGTTTAATTGGATTTGTTCTTGAAACAGTTCAATCAACAATGTTTCTTGCTGTACAAGGACTTTTTTTTCTGCCTACTTGTTGTGGTGGAAGGTAGATGAAAAGAATAATTAATTAAATTTATTTTATTTTATTTTATTTATCTAGAAAAATATTTGGTCATATAAGTTATTACAAATTATATTTTCAAATTATATTTTGTACTCTTCCAGGCATTTTTATCGAACGTAAACAACGGTAAATTAAAAGATTCCGAAATAGTTTTAATTGTTATAGATTTTTTAGACGTGGTGCTTTGGCTCTTTATATGACTAATTTAGTAAGTTTTTATTTTTGTTAATTCTTTATAGTATTATATGTAATAAAAAAATAGGCAGTTGAAGTTTTATTTAAAATGGCTGTACATCGAAACCTATTGACACCACTTCATAATGGAGAAGTAAGATTTTATTGAATTATATGATATAATTTTAAAAGATTTATTTATTTATTTTTTGTTTTTAGATACTTATTTTTGCTATAGCTTCATCAATATATACATTTATTCTCAAGTAGGTGAGCATAAAAATATATTTGAATGAATATTATTCATTTCATTATCGATTTATTTAGAACAACATCAGATCATAAACATAATAGTTTATTATTTTCTGTTATTAAGTATGTATAGAAATTTAGACTTATATTGAAAATTATTTTAGCAAGAAAATTTTGACTTAATTAATCGAATATTAATTCAACAAATTCGAACATTTCAAAACATCATTTTATCTATCGGATTTATGCTACGAGAAAAGTAGAGTAAAATATGCTCTTCAAAATGACTAGAAATTGAGCCACTTTTTGATGAATCTTAGGCCGATTTTCACCTTATCAGAGATCAGTTTACCTCAGAGTGACACTATTAAAAGTATATATATTTTTTTAAAGTTCTGAGCGCAATCCATATGGAATTAAAATATGAAACACAATATGGTTTCGGTTACTAATCATAGAGCGATTGTTTTATTCTATCTATTTCGGAACATCATTCTTTTACTTAATCAACGTCTGTCATGATCTATGACATTTCTATAGTTATGTGAAGACGGGAATCCAAATTTCCACATGATGGAACTTCACAATCAGTGCAGCCGTTTATTAGAATATTGTCAAATGTATATTAGTATAGTGATCACTAATTGAATAAGTTCGGAAAATTTTAATGTTTGAAAAAACAGCATGAGAGATAAGGCGAATTATTTATTTAATCGAAAGAGCGAGATGTGCTCATGAGTGAAATGTCTACTAATGAATTTCAAAAAATCAGATCGATTACGAGTTTTAGTTACACTATTATACTTCAATAAACACTCATGCTGCTTAATGCAGTTGATAGTGCACTCGACCTTGTATGTGTGAATGAAGAATGTTATTGAATCGACTAGATGCTTTGCTTTTATTTCTTGACTAAATGAAACGTTCGCATAATAGTGATTCTTGATTATTACTACTATCGGCATCAGAATTCAAGACACTCGGATATTTTTTGAATAACTTCCGATAGAAACCAGATGGAGACCTACGGTTTTCACTGTTCGAAAGAGCGATCTTTGGGTCATCGATCTGCATAGAACTCATTTAAGATGAAAGATGCTTTTGGATCAACAATTTTTTCTTCGCATATTTTCATCAATTTTTTTAATAATTTCAACTCGATTTATATGAAAATGTTGGTTAAATGATTTTTTTTTTGCTATAAAAGTATCACATTTTTCTGTAAATCTGCTTAGAACAAGAGGTCGAGGAATAATAAGATATGCAATAATTTTATAACGAAAAAAAAGATTTTCATATAATTTCAGTCGAAATTATTCAAAAAATTGATGAAAATGCGCGAAGAAAATACTGTTGATTCAAAACCATCTTTCATCTTAATAAGTTTTATGCAGATCGATAACCCCGACATTGCTCTTTCGAACGGTGAAATTCGTAGGTCTCTATCTGATTTCTATAGAAAGTTATTCAAAAAATATCCAAGTGTCTTGAATTCGGGCGCCGATAATAGTTGTGAAGTGTAAAATCTATCTAAGAAATTTTGACGGAAAACAAGTTTTTCTTATATGGGAAATCTTCCTTGAAAACAGGAATCAAGTTCAGACCCTATTAGATTGATCTCGAATCTGATTGGATCTGTAAATTTTGAATCCAATTTCGATTAGAAAATTTCATTGAGAGTATCAAAGTACGCTTCGAATCTGATTCGAGTCTGAAAAATTTGAAGAGTACATTTTACAATACTTTATCACTGTAAAGACAAGTCAAGACATTTAAACTTCCGTTTCGTACTATGAGTTTTTTATTTGAACTATCAACCATAAGATTTTATAGAGCAAAAACAAATTTGATGACTTGTTTTCATCAATAAAAAACAAAATAGAAGAGACTACTTGACTATAAATTACTTCGATATCTTTCGCAGATTTTTACAATTTTCGCGGAGTGTCTATCAGTCGTCATAAATCGTTTTCTTCCTTTTTTTTATTGTTTTAGGTCATTAATTGGTAAAGAAGAATGTGCACCGTCATTATCAATTGAATTAATACCTAAATCAAAAGAAAAATCCGTATTTTTTACATTATTTTATAAATATATAAAAATTATTAAACATTGGCCTTTAATTCAAAATAAAAATCATCCAATATGCAATCATAAATATCATTGTTTTATTCATGTTCTTTTGGTTTGTAAAAGCAAAACAAATTTCTGATATTTGAATATATAAAAATTCTAAAGAAAAAAAAATTTTATTTTAGGGTTTTCTCAAGCGTTTTCTAGCTGGTATATTAATACAAATGATTTTACATTTTACAACTTCTCCTATTCAATTTTTACAACATCCAATATTATTTTTTTCAACATTATATAAAAAAGGATTTAATTTGGGAAAATTTTTAGGTTTTTATTCAGCTATTTATCGAGTAAATAATTTCTTTATTGTCAAAAAACAAAAAAAATTATTATTTTTTAATTTCTAGTTAACTAGTTGTTTATTACGTAATATTTTAAAATATGATCGACCTGAACATGGTCTTATAGCTGGTTATTTAGCTGGATTTTCTATGATATTTTATAAAAGTTCAACATTAGCTATGTATATCATGGGAAAATTACTTGAAGTTAGTTTAAATAGAAATGTTTTCTTTTGATGAAAATAATTTTTTTTTTATTCAATAGAGTATCTATTTTAAATGTGCTCATGATGGAAAAGTACCAATAATACCATATTTTGATTCAATTTTATATGCTTTATCAACAGCACTTGTACTTCATGCAGCTGTAGTTGAACCACAAGCAATGCGTCCAGCTTATTATAAATTTATTGAACGTTTAACAGGTGGATATTTTTCACAAGTTGATCGACGTATGATGGATTGCTATGGTGTTTGTTCATCGAAACTTTTTCCAAATTATAAATTACCATTGATGAAAAAATAATATTTGTTATTTGACCATTTTGCTTTTGTTTTTTGAAGATAACAAAAAAAAAAGACTTGATGCATTTTATTTTTTATTTTTTATTTTTCTATTGAAATAATTATAAATTTTATAGATATCGAACAGAAATATGAAATCTACTATTCGAAATGTTATTGAGAATAATCATAGATAAAAATAAACATCGATCATATAAATTTTTTTTTTTGTCTTCGTTATACAAAAAGAAAATATGCATTTTCTAAAGAAGAATAAAATACATATAGTGTGTTTAGTCGATAGTTCTTTTTCAGTACTTATTCTATATATTTCCACATCAGATTATTGTCTGAACAGATAGATCCTACGTTACACGTTTATTCACATTGCCATTGGTGTTTATAAGAGCTAACGACATGACGGTAATAGGTTGTGAATTAGAGAACAATTATTAGCATACTGTAATAGGATAGTGGTCGAAAGATAGCTGACCATTTAGATATCATACTATCGTAAGTTTTTCTGCTTCTACTGATATAGCACTAATATAGAGCACATTATACTTAGTGACCTACTAACAGTTTTTGTCTGATTTTAATCACATGAAATTTTTATAAATTGCTTGAATTCTCTATTCTTTAAAAGTCACATTTGATTGTGTTTCTTAAAATCTTCAATAGTCGGATAATATTCTTAATGATTAAATCCATCACGATGATTTTTTCAAAAGCAGCAAATGAAATTTTTCGTTAGGTCAATGTATATTAAGAATGATATGTCCTCAATTTGAAGAACAAGAAACAAAAAAAAAAAAGATGACTCAAAATTAATATTTTCAAAATTTACTCAATACCCTTTTTAGTAATTTTGTCAGGAGTCCATAGAAAAATAAAAGACCAAAGTTTTTCAAAATTATATTACATACTTTTAGGTCATGTGATAAAAAAGATAAGAGTTTCTTTTTTCAATTGAGTCACAAAGCCATTTTATTCTTACTCTATACGATCATAAAAAAAGTCATTTGATATCTTATGTGAAGCAAAATGATTACATGATACATTATATTAATAAAAAAAGAAAAACGAAAAAAGAAAAAGAAAATCTAATGAAAATATTTCCTTTTTTTTTATTTCACATATTGCATATGCATCAATATCGATGCTTATGTACAAGAAGAAGAAAGAAAAAAACCTAATTTAATCGTTTTGTTCATTAACTGTTTGATTAAATACATATTTAATAAGCCAATCAGCACATTTCACATTTGCTGCTAGGAGATATCGTTCAAAATCTTCGTCTATAAAAATATTTTCATTATTTTCTTCGTCTATAAGAATATTTTCATCATCTTCTTCAGTTCCATATGTTCGAAGATCATTATGATTCGTCCTTTCTGGAACATTATGTATTTTAATTTGTGAAGATTTTGTTTTTAATATAGATTTTTTTTGTCGTTCAATCGGTGTTAGAGAACTTTGTCGATCATTATATAGTTGACGATTTCGAGATCGATTTAAATCAGGTATTTTACCACCTGGTAATGATTTATTTTTATATGATCTGACAGCAGGTGACATAATTGTCGGAGGATTTGATGGTATTTGATGTTGTTTATTACCTTCATTGGACGCTTGATAACCTGGCCATAGTAGTGATTGTTGATTAACATTTGTTGATAGAACAGATGGACGATGAGGAGGATGACGTTTAGAAATACGATCAAGACGTATATCTTTGCTACGATCAACTAATCTTTCAGCAGTCATAACAGAGAAATCTGTTCTAGAACTTGTAACACCACCACTATAACCAAAATTTAATCGACGAATATCAGTATAATCATGATCAGTGGATAACGGTGTAAGACGAGTTTTACGTGCTTGAATTGCTCTTATTTTATTACTAACAGCTATTGGAGAAGCGTTAAAAACCATTGATGAACACTTCGTAGTTGGAAAACGACGATGATGATTTACTGGAAGAACAACTGAGTGTGATGAAACGTTCATAGAAGATCTACAAAAGAGATCTATCAAATCTTTTATGATAGTGATTGTAGATAATAAAAAAACATAAAACGCAAAATCATCGAATACATTACCTTTTGTATATATTCTTCGAAAAGAAAAAAAGTTACGAGGTAAAGATATCATGATTATTTCTCAACACGCAAATAATACATTTAATTATTCGAAAAACTAATACCTCTTATGCTGTTGAAAAGTTACAGTAACACTACTTTAGTGATAAACGACCACAACAATGTCAAATTATTTGTTAGGAAATAATAAGCATTATGTCTCTAAGAAACTCAAAAACATGGGTTATTATATTTCTATTATTTTTAAAACATAGAAGTGAGCTTTATAAAGCACGAACTTTTTCTTCTTTTTTTTTCTCATGACTCAAATGAAAAGAATCCATCGAAAAAAAAGAGGATCCTTATGACTACGACTTTTATTTTATTTTGTTTTTTTTTCCATGTACAACGTCATTGTAATAAAGATAAATACCAAAAACAAACCATGATACAGGTAACACTAATCAGCTGTTCTCATTGTGACTTTACTTTAATTGTCTAACATAGATTTAAAAATCAAAGTTGAAAAAGTATGCAGACAACTTTATATTAATATGAAAAAGCAAAAAGAAAATGTAAAATAGTTTCTATTTTCGATTCCATCATTTCTTTGTCTTTTCTTTTTCTCAATTAGTTTTTTCTTTTTTTGTACTACTTGTCATGTCTACACAATAGTTCTTTTCACATGCATCTATTTCTTGTTTTATTTTCTGTTACTACTATATTATCGTAAAGTAGAATATGAAATACGTAAAAAATCATGTCGCTTACCAGTATTGATAATAAACAAAATGTATCAAAATAAGAATTGATTGTCTAGTAAGTAAAAAACAAATCAATAATAAAAATCTGATTTTAGCCTTGAAATAATATTTCAAAAAAAAAAACTCATTTTTCTTTAACTATTCTGTCAAGTATTTTGCTCTTGAAAATAAAATAGTAGATGTAAAATCATCATATTCTTATGTTATTATTTACACGGATACCAATTATTGTTGTTTTTGCTTCTACTCGACTATATATGCCTAACAGACAATAGACAATAATATAAATGTTCTACACTTCAATGATATTAAAATTATCTTTTGATCATAAAAGTTCAAAGCTAATACACATTAGAATTCGAGTATCAACTCGAGTTACTCTACCGTTTGTCTTTTTATTCTTATCGAATATTTCAAAAAGAATGTAAATAGATGACTCGTTGAAATAACCTTGCTGTTCAGTGGCCTCTTTTCTTTCTTTTTTTTTACCACTTTCTATATGAATTTTACTATTACGACTTTTATTTGTTTTTTCTTAAAGAATAAAGTAATCAGAACTGTAATGTAAATTACATCTGGTATTCTATCATTAATCTAAATCATTAGATTAATAAGACAAAGAAAAAAAAGTAACAGATCAGATAGATCCCTATGCTTTGTTTTCATGTCTCAATAATCAATTATAAATTGTCGCTATGATACAAAAAAAAACAACCGTCAAATTTATAAATAAAAAATTCCCTATAATTTAAATAAAATTCAATCTTCATAATTAATGATAATCAACGAATGAATGTTTCTAGTGCCTGGTTTGTCATACAAACTTGAATAATGATTGTTTGAAACTTCCATCAACAGAATCAAACATTAATAATGGTAAGAGAGAGAGAGAGAGAGAGAGGGAACGAGTATGTAAAAAAGAAAAAGAGATTACAAATTTCAATCGGCACCGACAGAGTAAAAGAAAATGTAACTCTCTTTCTTTCGTCGTCTTCTTCATCACTCATCACATCAACACATAAATAAAATAAAATGACATTTATTGTGTTTTTCATGTATATAAATACATATTCTTCAGTAAATTTTTATTCAAACGATAATCCAAAGGATTTTTTTTCTTTTAATAACTCTTATAGACGCAAGAATACAAAATAATGAATCTTATTTGATGTACACTTAAAGATAAGTGCATAAATGGGATTTTTACATTTAAGTTTGACCATTATTAGAGACGATAAAAAGAATTTGAATACATAAAAAAACGCTAAATAATAAAAAGAAAAAAAAGAATTCCTATCAATAAATTTTTTTTTATGTCAATATGTCTTCTAGAATGTCAAATTAAACGTTTTTTTCAATTATAAACAATTATTATTTATTTTATGATCCATTATTAAAAAAGAAATTCATTTATTGTCACGATCGATTTTTTTTTTTTATTCGGAACATCAACAATAAAAATAATTCTACGATTGATATATTATAGATAAGAATTTAAAATAGTCATTCGATCAGTGAGATTTTTGCCAGATTAATATTTTGAAGTATTTCTTTTATCTTTTTAAGATTAATGGAAATATTGTTTTTTTCTCCAGTTTTACTACAAAACCTATATTCAACTCATGATTTCTTTCCGTTAATTGAAAGAAATATTTCTTAAAGAAGAATACATCTTTTCTATATTAACCAATAGAAAGTATGAAGTTTCAATTTATTCTATTTTTTACGACGGAAAAGAAAAATTATGCTTTTGATTTTAATGTCTTTGTAATTTTACTATTTCCAATAGCAGAACTGTTTCTAACAAAGAATACAGAATAGTTTATAAAAATATATTATTTTCAGATGTTATCATTATAAACGAAATGAAAATGTACAATCTCACAAATTGTGTTTTTTTCTATGAATTGTATGAATAATTTTAAGTCGAACTAACTTTGAAACATGTAATTTTTCTTCTTTATTAAAATGCCGAGAATGTAAAAGTTAAAGCATACGTTGTTTTTATTTTCTTTGTATGTATATATGTATAGTCAATTAGAACTTAATAGGAATAAAGAGTACACAGGTTTCAGTTTTTCTTTTTGTAATCAGCTTGTTCGAAAATTTTTCAGTTTCTTTAGATGGCTTACTTTTTCTTTTTTTTACAAAACAGGTCACCTTTTGATAACCTACAAATTTTTAACTTTTCTTTTACTACTTACGAATTTTAAAACTGTCTGTTTTTGATTCAGCGTAAAAACAATTTATCTTAGATTCAGTTTTTCATGTTAAATTTAAAGCAAACAATTTTAAAATTCAAACAAACTGAAAGAAAATATAAAAATTTGTTGGTTATTGAAGCATGGCTTTTTCTGTTAAAAAAAAAAGTAAACCATCTGAAGAAACTGAAAGATCACACCTAAAAGCTCATTAAAAACAAAACTGAACTCGATATATTCTTGATTAACTTATATCATTCTATTTAACCTAAGAAAAAAGAAAAACATTGTCTACTTTAATTTTGCACTTTCACTACCTTATCTAAAACAATTATTTAACTATGGATTAGAGTGAAAATTTATACAAGTAGATTAGACTTACTGCTATATATTCCGATAAAAATCACAGCTTAAATGGATAAGTTTCAACAGAGATATAACGTTTAAAACGAGACAATGTATCTAAACTATAGCATAGTAAAACAACATTTTCGGGACTGTCACTCGTAAATATCTATGGAGTCAATCGTCTTTTTCTCTTCTGACCGTAATGTTTTTCAAATGATATGTAACTTGATAAAGATTGTCACATGCGTTAGTTTTACATTTCTTATCATTTGTTTTGAGCAAACAATATACCCATAAAAAAAAGAACTTATTGACACCATATTCGATTCGAAAAATTTTAAGATTTCTGCTAACCAAAAGAACTAATGTTCATTTCAAAAAATAAGGCCGATAGTTATTTTTCAAATAACTCAGGAATGTTTCGTGCTTATAAACTAGTGCTCATCCATAGGCATCTTTAAAGAGAAGACTGTAATTTTATGAAGATAGGGTAAATTTTAAATTTTATGAAGTGCACCAGATATCATCGATTGACGATCTACAAATCTACGAACGGCCGAAATTTTTATCATGATTCGTTGAAAAGTTACTAGCATAATACTGAAAGCATCTAACAGAGTTTTTGTCATTTTCATCTAATGAAGAACATTTTTCAAATTATCGTTATCAATGTTTTCGATCACTATGAATCGATTGGCAGTGTTTTTTTTTGCCTTCTAATATTACTATTATCCATTGTACGTATACTGATTTCATATGTAGTTGCACTATCATCTTGAAATATGTAGACTATAACGGATGGCCAGGTTAAATGGTCGTGCTTTGTATTTCAATTTTTATTCACTTAATATATTGTATTAAAAAAAATAAAATATATCACAGGATGCAGCGTGAAAAGTGCTACAGGTTACACAGTAAAGTTTATTGTAATTGCTTTCAAGAAAAGCAAAAAATGTAACTATAAAATAAGCGATCTTATATAAATTGTAGAGCTTTTCACGCTGCATCTTGTATATATTTTATTTTTCTTTAATACAATAGATTAAGTGAATGAAAACTGAAATGCAAAGCACGGCCACTTAACCTGGCTCACATGTTAGTTTTATGAGAAAATCATGTCTGCAAGCGACACATGTTGTGACCTTCCCGCTTAGACAGATCAAAGGAGTGCTTACTTTCTTTCTCTGATATTTTTATCATCATCACACACTTCATCAACACTCGAAAGAGAGATTAGATATGTATAAGATATAGAATATATAGGAATGAAAGAAAGAGAAAGAAATGCACAGTAACATACCAGAGCGAAGTACAAGAGTTTTGTGCATGTCATCGATACGTGTCAACAGAATGCAAGAGAAAGATGTATACATGTATGATGGTGCTCACGATGATACCGTGATGATAACAATATCAGAGAAAGAGAGTGAACACTCTTATGACCTGTCAAAGAGGGAAGATCATGACACGTATTGCTTGAAGACACAATTCTCTCATAAAACTATAATCTACATGTTTTAAAATGATTGTGCAACTATATATGAAATCAGTATGCGTACAATGGCTAATAGTAATGCTAGGAGACAAAACAAACACTACCAATCGATTCATAATGATCGAAAACAGCGATAACGATAATTTAAAAAATGTTCTTCAGTAGATGAAAATGATAAAAACTCTGTTAGATGCTCTCACTATTATGCTAATAACTTTTCAATGAATCGTGATAAAAATTTCGGCCTTTCGGATATTTCTAGATCGTCAATCGATGATTTCTAGTGCACTTCACAAAATCTAAAATTCATCCAATTTTCATAGAGTTACAGTCTTATCTTTAAAGATGATTATGGATGAGTTACTTGTTTATGAACTGAACTTAAACAAATTAATAAGGATCGATAAAGTAAGAAAGCCTCTTTCGAATTGCTGAAAATCGGAACTCGATAGCGCGAAGCATTCCCGAGTTGTTTGAAAAATAGCCATAGGCCTTCTTTTTTTGAAATGGGCATTAATTTGAGTTTTTTTTTTAAATTATTTTTATCAAATGTTCTAAAATCAAAACTGTTGATTCTTTTGTATAAAGAAAAGTGTTGAATAAGTTTTGTTTTTATCCAAATGTTTTTTTACATCCTCATCGGCAGTACTACGGACAAGGAATTGATTCTGTCGAAAAATTTTGAATTCATGAAGGTACAGAATTCCGAGTCCTTCCAGACTCAGGTTCGGATTCACAAAAACGTAAACTCGCAGCTTCTTAGATCACATATAAGATATTCTTGTTTGATATCGTTTACATAAATACAATTAAAACTATTCCATACAGCTGAGTCTAAGTACCGATCGAGACTTACCTTTTGTCTATGACGATTCCCTTTAACAATGGTTAATTGTCCTCTTTAGAAAATTTTTTTGTGAATATGCCTATATTTAAATCATAATAAATATCAATTACTATAATCTATTGTTTATTCTTATTCTAAATACATTATTTTAGAAAAAATTTCGAAAAATTTTCATAAACAATGGACCCCAAAATGGTGGAGCACGTGATAATTGTTTAAATGTATCAGATGTAACAAGTGTTCCATATTGAAAAAGTCGAATACGTTCACGATGAAATTTAGCACGTAATTCTTCATTATTTGTTATAATTGCTAATTGAGCTTCGAGATCACGTTTAATTGAACGTGCACCTAGAAACAATATAATAAAATAAAATAAAATAAATTTACTAAAAACAAACAAACCAAAATTTGGTGATCCAATACAAGTTAATATTGGATAATTATTATTTTGATTTTCTTCATATAACCATAAACCTTTTGCATGATAAGTCCATTGTGGACGATAATATTCATACATTTGTATTTGTCCATCATTAGAATATTTCTTTTCTGCTCTTTCAATAAATTCACGTTCATTTTCACTATAACCATCTGGTACATAACGACTTATACCACGACTACCATAAAATCCATTAGCTTGTGGTGATGCTGTTAATAAACTAATTATTGTATCTTTACGTTTATTATCAATTAATTCTTTTTCATATTCTTCTGTTATATTAAAATATGATGTAGCAAGATATAATTTAGATTTATATGGTAAATGTGAATAAAGATATATATTAAAATCTCGATCATTATTTATATTAAACAGTCCCATTTGTATTAATGGTACAATAAGTGCTTGATCATTTGATAATGATATTGGTTTTGGATAATCTATTTGATATGTTTGTATTAATGATGAAAGATTTTTTTCAACTTCAAGACGATATTGATTATTATCACCTTTATATGGATGATGTGTACCCATAAAAATAGGTTTATCATGATTTTTTTCTATTTTAAATGATTGTTTTGCTATTAGTTCAATAATATCAATAAAAAATTTACATAAATTTGAACAATTATTTAATTTTAAATATCGATCTTGTCGATTATCGAAATAAGTTTTATTTAGATTAGCTCTAAAAATAAAAACAAATAAATTAATCTTCTAATTAATAAAGATTTCATTTGTTTGTTTTTTTTTGAAAATAATAATATATGATTTTTACCCACTTATGATTAAATTATTATCAGCTATATAGATTTTCATATGTTGTACACCCCATGATTCATTAATTCTTGTTGGTAATATTTGACGTAGAAAACCATAAAGAAGTGGTGTATGAAAAAGATAAAAATCAACTTGTGATGAATATTGTTCAATTAAAGGTAGAAACATTGTTTTTGAAGTTGTTTTTTCTTTATGATTATCAATACGAAGGCCACGTAAATGATCAAATAAAACAACTAAACGTAGAGATGGATTTTTATCAAGTGCTGTTCGTATTGAATCAATCTAATTAAAGAATGAGGAATTATTTTTCGACTTTTCTTTCTAGCAAATTATATCTACCAATTTATATTCATACGGATCAGTACCAAAATACAATGATGATATGTAAATACGATTTTTTGCATTAGCAACAAGTTTATTTAATTCTTGAAAAAAGTCGCATGGTTCATGAAGAACATCAAAACTTGATGCCGGTATAACAAATGATGGTCCATAATTTGAAATCCAACCAAAATTCTTTAAACAAGAAGAAGAACTATTCATCTGGAACCAAAAATATACATATATATCTTGTATAAACACATACAACAATCTAGTTGAACATGTTGACACAAATCAAAAGATCTTTGAGAACACAAGAAAATAAAAAAAAACAATAATCCAAAGTTTATTGGATACCAGTTATTTATTTCATCAAATAAAGTTTTATTTTAAATTGGTTGAATCTTGAAATGTAGACCAATAAGTGAGAAAACAAAACATTTCAAATCTTGAACCAAATAATAAAAACAACGTAAACCATCAGGATCACGACTATTATTTATATCAATTAATGAACCAATTTTTGCTGTTGTAAATGAAATATGTTCATCACCAAGAACAATTTCTAATTCTTGTCGACCAGTACGATCTTGTGGTGGCCTAGAAATATATTTTCAAAATCAATCTAGATTTATTATCACATATTCAAAATTAAATTAAACAATCTTTCGGTGAGAAAGCGATTGATCAGTTGAAAATATTCTCTCGTAAGCTTATTATTTTTCTTCTCTTTTTGATCCATATATTGTATGACATAATGAATAGTTTATTTTTTTAAATAAATCCCCTGAAGAAAAATGCCATGATTTTCTATTTCGAGCTACTATCCATTTCACTGAACAGTACACTTTGTTGTAAGTTGAACAACTTCAGCTAGGAAGTAATTAGCGACCTGGGACTTTTTAGTTTTGGAAAGAGCGACATCAACTTTATATGGAAAAAGCGACATCACATCGAATCTCGTAGTTGCCCACCAAGTGAAATTTTAGCGATTCATCTAAACAATGAAAATCCGTTTGATATTGGATTTTTTTGACGTAGGTTTGGTAAGGCAGACGATTGTCTACTATTTGCCATCAACCCCAGATTTCAAGCCTTTATTGTTAGGGATCCAATTCAAGAATTTTGATCTGAAATTTTGCTTATAGATAGGTCTACTAGTCATTAGAATCGCCTGAAAGTTTCAGCCAAAACAAAAGATTTTAGAAAACTCTTCTGTTATTCGAATAGATATTTTTAGTAGATAAATGCCGAAAAATCAGGATTTTCGCTAAAAAAGACACTTTTTTACTAGAAAAATTATGATTTAAATTTTAAAAATCTGTTAGTGCAATTCCTACGGAATTAAAATGTGCAACACAACATAATTGCTCTTTCTAATCACAGGAAGATCACTTTATTCCACAAAGGAATCGCTCCAAGTGATAAATCCTTAAGCCTTTCCTCCAGAGTTATACCTATTCTACTAGAAACTTAGTCTATAGGACAGTATATATCAATACATCGAATGGTATTGAATTTTTAAAAATCATCAGCTATGAGAATTTCATACTTTTTTAAGAAATTCAATAGCTAATGAACGAAACATTCTTTCGAGCTGAAAATTTCAAGTCGAAATATCATCATTCGATTTTTTTGTGTAGGCCATCCTATGGACTAATAATTTATCACTTGAAACGGTCTCTCTTCAGTCTGTGACACGAACGAGTGAATAAGTGTTAACAAAGCGTTTGTAAGGGAAGGAAGCAGAATCCCGCTCAAAATCCTCTGAATTTCGGAAAGCCTATGACGTTTTATTACGCCTTGTAAAATTTTTCTTGTGGATGGACGCATGGGATTAGCGAAATTTTTGTTTTCTATATCGAAATGAGTTGAATAGATTGTGAATTGCAAAAAAACAAAAATACTTACCAAACAGCATCATCTTCTTTCATAACATCTGATTCATTAACCATACGTTTAAGTTCTTCAATAACAGTTCGATTAACATAAACTTCTTTTCGAATTAATGTATCTTTTTTATAATTTGAATTATTTGCATAACGTAATTTTCCATCAGGTCGAAATTCAAATTCAAGAAATTCATGTCCAAATTTTCCTCTATGACCAACATAATATCGTAAATAGAAATCATCATTAATTTCTGTCATGATTTTATATATTTATTAGAAATCTAGAAAAAAACAAAAAAAGAACAAAAAGAAAAAAACAATAACGAAAAATCAACACTGTTTATTTGTTTTTTTTTTAAACAGAAATATCCGTATCAAAAAGAACAAGTTTCCATTGTGAAGTTTTTGAAGTTAATATTGGTGAAATACGATATTGATTCGATATAAGATCAAGATCTTTTTTAAATTTTTCTCGAATTTTTTTGTTTATGACCATCGTTTGAACATTTTCCTGTTGTTGTTGTTGTTGTTGTTGTTCAGGATTACTTAACCATATTGTTGTTAATTGTTTTTCAATTGAATTAATATATTCATTATATTTATTTTGTAATAATTCACCTTTTTGTTCATAATCTAATGAATTTTTATATGTACTTATTTGATAACATATTTTATTTATATGACGAATATCAAAATTTAATTTATCAAATTTTGTTATTAATAACCATAATTCACGTACTAATGCAAGATCTTCATGTTTTGAACCTTCTTTTAATTGTACTAATCGTTCTTGTTGTTGTGCAGCACGTCGTTGTGATTTTTTACTTGATGTTATTGAACCAGATTTTTTTGTTAAACGTGTTCGTATTGAACCACTATCATCATTATGTCGATTTGTACGTGTATTTAATGTTCGTCGATCATCATTTATATGTTGATCATCATTATCTGATTGATCATCATTTTCATCAATATCATAATCTCGACCAGAATCAAGTATTTCTTTTATTAATTGAAAAAGATTTGTTCGAAGAATTAAAAGACGTTTTGTAAATAATTGAAATTTTTCATAATCATTATAAATTTGTCGTTGTATATCATCATAGAAATTATTAAATGTTGATAAAAATTCATGTTCATATAAATCATGACGATCATTTAATGATGTTGAAAATAGACGAATAATATGAGACCATTCATGACCTTGTAAATAAGAAATAAGAGCTTCTTCATTATCATCAAGATAATTTTCATAGATTTGACCAGATTCAATATATAATGAATCATGACGAAATTGTTCAGCTAATGAACGATATTCATCCACATTGACATTAGGCTAGAAATAATCGATAATTTCAATTCTTTTTTTTTATCTGATATTTTGACTACAAATAGAGCTTGGTAAATCCTCATCGCAAGCAGCAATTCGAGGTCGATCGGTCTTAATATAAAGGATTTACGATGGCAGTACTGATTTTTCCCGAGGATCAAAAAAAAGGGACTTTTCTGCTATTTAAATACGTTTAACCTTCATTTTCTTATTAACAAATAAAGGTTCATATGTCTATAAATACTTCAATCTATTGTAATCTTGAAGCGTAGGGAAGTCTCCATTGGTTGGGACGATCTTGACATAGATCTTTTCTCTATTAATGATTGAGAACATGAAATTTTCAAGGCAATGACATGGAGTTTTTATTGGTGACTATATTGAACTTCGATCTTCTTCAGATGAAGGCCGATTAGTTCTTACGATTAAAATTTAGAGACTTTTTACAACTACTATACTATGCGTCTGTGCTTCCACAAATAAGACGGTGGGGAAAAGTTTAAATACAAAGTATTGTTGATTTTGTTCTATAATGTTAAACACCTAGCTGAAATCCACATAGTGGTTTTAATAGTCGATGGAACAATATTTCATAGATGAACTATGATGGCACGGTTTCTAAAAAGTCTAACATGGTAGTTTTCAGGTGTCAGAAAGTATTTTTAATAATGCCAAAATTCCTGAACAAAACGACAGATTGATGCATTTTCTATGACTTCCTCAAAGGAGAAAAAGCTGATTACAATCACTCACAATCAAAAATTCAGCATTTTCTCCCTTGTGAGGAAACTATTTCTTCGCTATTGTATGAACAAGACATGCTATTGCTCGGACCATACGCAAGAGCGCTCCGGATTCACCGGAACAATGCTATTTTCTATCCTTAAAATAGAGGAGAAAAGTCCTACTATAATCTGATTAGTCCAGAGTTTTTCATATCAACCAATCAGATTCCAGTAGAGTTTTTTGTTCAGGGGAATCTAGGAGTTATCCTGGACGCTCTTTCATATGGTCCGTACAATAGCGAAGAGACAACTTCCTCGCATCGGATTGGTCGATGGATAAAAGCTCTCGACCAATCAGATCTTAGTAAGTCGTTTTATCCTATATTGTATGGACAAAACATAGAGTCGTTCGGGCTCGTTTATGATTATCCGAGGCCCTCTTTTATATTATGCGAATAAGGCTCTGGTGCGTCCGTATTGGAGTAAAGAAAAACTTGAAATTATATGATACTTTAGCCTTAAAATTAAGTTAATTAAATGTCTAGTGTTAGGCAATCAGACAATAAGCTTTTTCCCCCTAGACTTCTCTTAAAAAGTTAAACGTATCGCAAAAACCATAGAAAAACGAAATTTATCAAACAATCGACTAAAAAGCGCTGTTTTTCGATTTTTGTAAGACTTTTAAGTTTTTAAGGGGAAAGGTCGTAGAAAATATGGCGACCCATCATTTTGTTCAAAATTTTGGTATTGTTAAAAAATAACCTCTGAAATCTAACCGTGTTCACGTTTTTGAAAGCTTGCCATCATAGCTCATCTATGAAATCTGACTCCATTGGCTATTAAAATTACTATCAGAGTTTGAACTAGACGTTTAACATTAGAAAAAAAAATCAAAAATACATTGTTGTTAAACTTTTTCTCACCGTCTTACCTACAAATGGATCGAAAGTTCAGTAAAATGACCCTATAACTCAGCATCACAGACCCATTAGGACCAAGTTCTCTACTCCATCCACACCCACACCCTAAAGGGACTGAAAGTCATAGTAGGTTGACGAGCCGTAAATCGGGTTATTTCCCTCATCAGTCTATTCGAAAGTTTGTTTTTGTTTTTGAATTATAATTTAAAATCTTACTTGTTTAGAAATATTCGGTAATAATTTCAATGAATTTTGTACATCTTTTCCTTGTCTATAAGCTTTACTTGCTTGTTCATAGAATTTTCCTCGTTCATAAATAAGTGCAGCTTCAATATAATATTTTTTTGTTATTAAATAATCTCCATATAATTTAATAATTTGATTAATATATTCCATAGTTGATTGTATTTGTTGATTAGATAAAAATTTTCTTATGGCTAATTTATATAAACGATTATTCTCTAAAATAGTAAGAAATTCTTGAAATTTTTCATCATATTGATTTTGTTTATTTAATAGTTGTTCAATAAAATAATCACATGCATTTTCAATAGCTTTTTTATAACGTTTTAAACGACAATCAATTTTAAATTTTTGCCAATAATTATTATTTATTGAACGTAATTGATTTAATTCAGGTAAATATTCTTTTGGATCTTTTTGTGTTTTTTCACTTATCATTAAAACAAGATCAAAATTATATGTACCTAATGCAATATCATATAAACGATCAATATCAATAAAATATGTTAAATAACGTATAGCATTATCAAAATATTTTGAATGTTGATTTAAATATATTAAAGCACCTTCAATATTTGATGGTGATTGTTTTGTATAAGTTGTTAATATTGAATTAATATATTCTATTGAATTATTTGTTGATAAAAGATATGAACGAAATTTTTCACATAATAAATTTGCTTTTGGATACCATTGTTTTATATCAATTGAAGAATTTTTTTCTTGTTTTAATATATATTTCATATATTCATCTCGAGTATTTTTTTCATTATCAATTTCACTTAAAAATAAGCATATATCATCATCATTTTGTAAATTAGAAATAAATTGTGGAATATAATCATAAAATTGTTTTGGTTTATAATCATAGAGAAAATTAAGATTAAGACGATTTTTACGCATTAATTCAAATGCACGTTTATAATTTATTATTTCACTATCAATTAATTCTGAACAAATATATGTTAATAATAATGGTCGAGGATAAATTGTTTCAATATTACCACGTGGCATTTGTAAAATAAGTTTTAAATCTGTATAAGCAGTACAGACGATACGAGTACCACGTTCTTTAAAAAAAGAATAAATATATTAGTCGTGAATGTAAGCAAAACTAGAAATAATCTCAAAGAGAATCTGACTCGGATTAGGTTACAATTAGAGGTGTAAGTCATTGCATTGATCGGCGGCAGTATGGCTGAAAATTTTCTTAACTCTGAGAAATTTGGAAATGAAAAAACTGAAAAAATGGTCCTAACCTATGGCGCCGAACTCTTAACACAAAATATTTATTCATTTTTCTGGTACTAAAATACAACCGATTAGAGGTAGAAGCATTTAGTTAAAATTACAATTAAATCCAACACTGTGTCTGTATAAAGTAAAATAATGATTTTATCGTAGTACTTAGTTTTTTCAACTCAACATTATTGTAAAACACTGAATTCCATACAAAATGAGATAAGCGAAATATCATCTATGCATTTCTACTAAAATGATTGTTTCTATGGAAATCGGTAATCACTATCTCAAAAACTACTTTTAAAAATACAAAAGTTTTAAAATAGCACAGTTTATAGAACAAACTAAGCCAATAAAAATCAATCGAAATATCAAATTAGTATTCTGTTCAACTAATATTTCGAAACAATCTTACCCGAGAAAGAAATGCTATTCGTTAAGAACAAAAAAGACTGATTTTGGCTCTAATCAGTTGTCTTTATATCCCATCTGAAAAATTAACGACAGCGACATTGAATTGATCTCGAGTAGGCAGCTGTCGGTCCACGTTTTTGTGAAGCTGGACCCGGTGGGATCCAGGTAGGAGATTTTTTCATCAATAACCGGCATTCTTCATGTACATAAACAAGTGAAGGATCAAGGTTTCAACTGTTTCTCTCAGAAAAAACTCAACATACAGTTATATCTTGTTGCTGGATTTCTCATCTGAGGAGCAGCGAGTCTACAAAAACGTGTAACTGGGTCCAACAAAAAATAAAAGGTTGAATCCACAGCTCCCTAATCTCGTAGAATGGGTCTTGATAATGTTCTTATTAGAATAATTAGTAACATGTAAAAATATGAATACATAATTATTATTATTTCAAGTCTTATTAACATCAAAAGATAACATTTCAAGAACTTTACTCATTTCGAAAGTCATATTTTTATATAGATCGTTTCTCATAAATTTCAAAATATATGAATATAGTACTTTCATTTAATAAACTAAAAAACTATTTCTTATTTACCCGTTCTTCGATGACTAATCTCTGCTATAGTTTGATCATTAACCAATGATCGAAATACTAATTGATGTTGTAATGTTGAATAAACAAGTATTGTTTTATCATGAATAAAATATGAATTACAATTATGTGCAAGTTCAATTGTATTTAAATATAAACGATAATTTTCTGTTAAACCAATAAATCGTCCATTTAATATAACTGAAAAATGTGAACATGCTCGAGGAAAATGCATTTTAGCATGTAATTCCTTATTATCTAAACGATATATTTTTCCATGTTCATCTTGTAAATATAAATGTTTAATTTCTTCATTATCAATTGCAGTTGTTAAACAATTAAAATTTAATAATAAACTAATTTTTGTTTTATTTTCAATATTATATATATGTAAATGTGAATTTTCAATAAAATAAAATTCTTTATTAATAAGACGATAATGTGTTACATTATGAATATTTTTAATTGGTGATTCAGATGAAGATATTAATGATGTAACATAATGAACAGATTTTATTTCTGATAAATGAATTATTGTACGATAATTAGTAAGATTTGATGATGAACCACATATTGCTAAAGAACCATCAGATAGTATAAGAATTAATTGATTATAATCATCATCAAAAGCAATAGCAAGTATAGGTAATGGACAAATAATTTCATATGAAGACATTGGTGGTGGAATTGATGAATGAGTAAAATCCGATACAAATAAATGACAACCATCAATAAGAAAAACAAGTGAACGAGTATTTGTATAACTAACTTGACTTATCCATGACCAAGACATTGAATGATATTGACCATTATCAGTTATAAAATGAAGTTTATTATTAACATCAATATCCCAAAGAAGTGTTTGAATATTAATTGATGGATATGAAAATGATTGTTTTAAATACCAATGATAATTACTTGATGACCATAATTGAAGATATGAATCATTCTTAAATTAAAAAAAAATTTTTTTTTATCAATAATTATTTCAAGAAAACTTGCTGCCCGCGCACACCTTTTTGCGATTAGCATATGTTCTTTAGTCTCTTCATACGAAATATATTAAATGAAAAATCCCTAGTAGACTATAGTTTAGGAAGATGCAAGGTTGGATCCGCACTTATAATGTCCTAAGAAAATTTTTGGGTCAATATACTCGAAATCATAAACTACCGCTCAGCAGCAGCCAGAAGTATTTTTGTTCTAACGTCATAATTTATTGATAAATTTGATGATTTCTTTTTTACTCAAATGATCAGCGCAACAAGCTCTACAGACGAAAAAATCTTCTGAGAACCTTGTGTTTTTTATGGTTGACTTATAACCTTCAGTAAATTCCTAAACATTAACTCAAAGGCAATTTTTCAATTTAAAACGTTCCCTCGTGAACTAAAATAAAAAGCTACCCTATTTAAAACATTTAAGTCTTGTTGATCAGAACCTTTTTCCGTTACTAAGAAACTCTGGAAAAGGCATCCTGTTGTCCTCGATTGCTATAGAAATGTAGTCATAGACTGTTGGTCTCTCGTCAGGTTGCTAAGGTCTAGAGATGGGGAGGATGAATAACATAGAACAGGAGCATTTATTTTGAGTGTCGATTTATGTTAAATAGAAACTCGTCTAAAAACACTTTTCTCAATGCAATATACTCTTCATAAAACTTCGGGCATATGAAGTTGTTTCGTTTTTAGGTTTTTTAAATCTATTTATGACTAAGTGTTTGTGTTAAAACAATTTGAATATCTACATAGGTTGTGAAAAAATGATTTTTTTTTTAACAATAGAAAAGAGATTAAGCGTGCAACAGCTGAATTAAACTACTGATAATCTATTTTTTTTTGTATAGGAATGAGCTTGGAATCTTTGATTATTGAATACTTCGTTTATCCTATCCAATTGCATTGCGAAAGTTCCATTTTAGGTTGTGATATATGAAAAGAGTTGTATGGCTGATCAATAAACTTTTTTTTTTCTTAAAAATACCTCTTGACGAAGAACAAGAGCAAGAATTGTTGAATCTTTGTTCCATGCTAAATGTTGAACATATTTTTTAATATTTTCTCCTGTTTCTAAAACTAATTCTCCATGTTTAAGACCATTTTTTTCTAAAAAACTTATTGTTAATTTTTGTCCATTATTAAATCTCATTGCAACACCAATTAATTCTCCACTTATTTTCCATCCTATAGCTGATTCAATAAAACTATTTAATGATGTTTCATTTGTTGCTTGTAATTGACCTTGTTTATTAAAAATTTTTATTGTACGCCATTGATTTGTTAATGAAATAAATGATACAGCAAATAGATCACCATCATCACGCCAAACAATATGACTACGATTATCATCATTATCAGATATTAATTTTGTTGGCATGATATTAACATTTTCAACAGCAGCTTTTTTACCAACTGAACCATGAAATTGTGTTGTTTTTGAACCCCAACCAACATTTACTAATTGTTGTTCACCAAAATCACTTGTATCAAGTAATGTTTCAGCAATAGGTTCATAATCATTATATGTTGAAAGTAAAAGTACTTTTGTATTTGTTACAGCAATAAGTATTTGTTGATCAGGACTTAATTTTAATTCATGTATACATTCTTCTAATGTACCAATAACATTAATATTTTCATCACTATCATTATCAAATTGTAATGATATTAAATCACCATTTGATAAACCTAAACATAAATGATTTAATTCAGAAAGATAACATAAATCTTCTAATGTTATTGTTTGATCAATTGATGAATAAATAGATTTTATTTTTTCATTTTCTAATGTTAATGAATATATAGAATGAGAAGTTAATAGATAGATTATTTGTTTGTCTGAATCAATAGCAAAATGTCGAAC